CATCTCATCCTCTGCCGTCCTCTTCTCCTTTTGCCTTCAATCTTTCCCAGCATCAGGGTATATAGATTATAATTGTTTACTGTTACAATGACATATTAACATTTTTTCCTTCGTTGTATTTCACATTTTTGTTAGAGCACTTTCTATGTGATTTTTTCCCCTTCTTCTCAATAATAAAAAAAACAGTTAATTAAAACACACACACACACACAAAGATACCCTTGTGTGCCCCCCTGCGCTCTTTGGAGAAAAGTAGGAAATCAATCAATCTGATGTTATGACACAAAATCATATTTGTACAATGATGGCATTGTGGCTGGTTAGACACTATAGACACCATGGTCCTCCCTGATCCTTTTTTTGGACTAATGCAGGTTTACCCCTTGTCTTTGGGGAAAGTTGTTTTTGAAGAAAAAAAAGAGATGATTTTTTTTAAGGCCTGGCACGCCCACGTTCTTTTGAAACTAAAGCACAAATTCCATTGCGTGCGGTTTGGTCCCCACTCAACTCTCCCAGCTGGGGAAGGAATTGCTGCCAAATTCCACCCCATTTTACTTTCACTTACCTTGCCACGATTTCATTGTCTACTTTGATGATACAATAGGGATCACTTGTGCCAGACCTTTGGGGAACAAAACAACACCGTGGGTGAGTGTTCGGTGCCAACGATAAGCACATCGACATTTCCAAAGCAAACGTTCTCCGCTGAGAGCGACTTCATGGCAGCAAATCATGATTGACAGGTTTGGGAAGTAAAGGGAGAGGAGGCATTGGTTCAGGGGCTAGGCTAGAACCCAGGAGGTCTGGGTTCTGGACTATCCAGGGAAAGTGTGCCAACTGGGGGCCAGCCATCACTTCTCAGACTCACTTTGCTCACGGGGTTGTTGGAAGAGACAGAAATGGAGGAAGAGTGCAAGGTAGGATGTTCACAGAGAAAGGCAAGGGGTCAGTGGCCCCAAGAAGGAAAATGGAGCTGCTGAGAAGAAAACAATCGTGGAGTCCTTGGGGTTCTCTGAGCTTGGTTCTTTTTTTGCAAACATTTCATTACCCGGCTAGGGAACATCTGAAGATGTTCCCTAGCCAGGTT